CTCTTCCACGTTAATTTAGGATGACCTCTCCTACGTTGGCTCTGTGCGTTATATTCCAGTACAGCATGTGGGATATCGTTGATTGGTCTCCTAAACGTGTGACCTAGCTATCGATATTTATGCTTTTTGATTTCGTCATCCACTGGGAGTTGAAGAAAGGCAGTCTCCATACTTTTGAATTCGAGATAGTTATTGGGTACTAAATGCTTATAATGGGTCTCAAACTTTTGTTTATGAACTAATTAATATAATAATCAGGTTATCTAGAATACTGATAGAGTAAAAAGCTTTTCGAAATTTTGGTATTACAATTAATAAATTCAATTTTATGAATATAAGCCAGTTTTAAAAAAATAAAAATATATATAATCATAGTTGTAATATATATTGAAATCGATTATAGATATACTTAGTTTTCTTCATTATAAAAATATCGATTTAAAAACCACTTTAATGGCAAGTCATTTTTATTGATTTTGTAAAATTTCTGGATAAAAACGAATATAGTTTTAAAGAAGTACCATATAAAAATGATTTTAATCAGTATATTAAAGATACTTGTATGATTAGGAAATTCAAAATAGTACAAAAATTTATCTATTTTCTCAGTACTCTATTTCTTACTTCTTCGCATGTTATTGTATTTTATATTAAATTTGATATATTTTTAAAAAAATATCGGAAAAACTGGCAGGCATTCCTGATGACTAGATATCTTTGTAGAAAAATTTTACTAACACGAAGTAATTATTTTTTATGATTTGGAACAACTTAAGCTCTTATGATCGAACACAGCCCTCTTGAATAAACCACAGTTGGCCGATGAAGAGTGCCCACTTTATAGAGTTTTCACTTTGCTCTTCAAACCACTATATCATATATCATAACACTTCTAGCGGTTATCATAACAAAATTTGCCGTCTGTCCATCCTTTTTTTAATATAGTATGCAGTAATTCTATTTGGAACCCATTATATATGAATTACGCCCTATGCTCCTCCTAGGAGTTAAAGGATTTAATATATAATATATATATATGAATTAGAAATGTGTTCGAAAATAAGCTAAGGAAAAATATATTATTCAAGCTATAAATTGTAAAAGTTCATTTCAAATATAGATTTGGAGATTAACTTTTTACTAAAATTGACCAAAAAAAGTTTTTTCAGCTCCTAAGTTACTCGAATGTCTGGATAAATATAATTTCTTGGAATTCTTGGAATTTTTTATTTTGAGAAAAGATATCTGAAATCCATGTAAATTTTATGAGAAAATGCTTTTTCATAAGATTTGTTAGAGGCAAATAGGCTGGTTGTTGTAAACATTGGAGATACGTTTCTGATATCTAGCACAAGCACATTTCATAATAAACTCCACTAAACACGATATTTAAAGCAGATTTTTCCACCACGCTATATGTTAATATACATATCAAGTTAAAAAATAACATAACAGTAATCTCTATTATTGTATAAAAACAATAAAGCTATATAAATATTATTATGTTCAGTTCATTTTCTTCTTAGAAGTGATTGATTCTCTTTCAACTATTTCGAAATATTTGATAGGTTGTGCCTGTTCAATTACCCCAAGTGGAGTACTGTTAGGACGATATGATCGTTGATCTCCAAAAAATTAAAAATCCGCTTTCATTTAATAAATCATTAGACTGTTAGATAAATCGGTTTCTAACAGGAACAAATCAGTTAAAGATTAACAAATAATCCTTATTACCATTAATTAGAGACAACTAGTAAGATGAATAGAATATATTTTAAATAAGTGCTAAATAATTCCATCAAGCTATCTACAGAATTAATGCAGAAAACCTTCATTCTCTAAGATATATTAACGCCGAAATACGAGTATTAAATGGGTCTGAAATGATTGAAACAATCCTGAACCTTAAAAGCAACAAACCCTCTGATAATGATAATATTGAAGCTATATGCTTAAATGCTAACGATAAACTGTTAGTAGACATTTAGCATCCGTTCAGTCAAACTGTTTGGAAAATTGGGACAAACTACCCAAGAATGTGGACAGTTCCCACTGTAATAACTGTCAAAAAATTACATTATTACCAGTATTAAGCAAAAGTATGTTAAGTTAAAGTCAGGTTAGTATTTAAACAGAATATAGAATTCCATCATATTGTCCAACTTCATAAAGCATTTAACATATATATCGGTTGTTCTAGAAGTACGGTTCCCTGTAAGGTAACAAAACTTTTGAAAGAATTATGTATATATCGACTTCAAGTGCAGAATTCCTCATATCGGTGTGCTTTTGAAATTCGAAGTACATACTACAATTGGTTAAGTATGTACATTATTTATGATGGCCGTAGATGAACTTTAAAACAAGGCTCTTAATAGTCGCACTTAATGGTCACTCTTCGTACATCCTGAGAACTTAGATGTACAATTAATGGCATACAGTAAACGTTATATACATAACTTAAAATCAATTTAATCAAAATATATTAACATATGCAGACAGGCCCTTCCATGGTACCCTCAGTGCAGCCTAATTCAAATATTAGTCTATTATGAATATACCCTGGAAATATGTTGCAAAATTCCAGTCATCCATTAAAATCATATGAGAATTTTGTTTTCTAATAAATTAAAATACATAAATAAATTAATTAATTTAAATATATAAGATAAAAATGCTAATCATAATCCTTCTAATATTCATTTTGTTTTCTTTTATTTAAATTAATTAATTTTCAGTGTTTACAATTTTTATATTTTATATTAAGGGCGAAGGACGTAGTAGTTCAGTTCTTTATTTTTAGTTAACTTTAAAATTAATTTTAATGTTGACTCACAAATAAATAAATATTTTTTTTTTCCGGCAGCTATTAAGTGTGGCAAAAAAACAGCAACTTGCTTACTATAGGCGCTAAGCGAGATATTGTCAAATCTTGCATATGTGGACATAATGCAAGTAGATAACATTTTGTGTAAAAGTATATAATTAAGTTAAAATTAAAAATTAAAATGATTAATGAATTTAAAGCTATATTAAGAATGCAAGAAATTTTGAAATTTTCCTTTACAATAAAATTAATAATAATTTACTCTATTTATGCCTTAATAATTATTGAGTTGTTAGCAACTAATAAGTTAGAAATTTTAAATCGCTTTTCAATTATACTTTCTTCACGTACTTTTAAAAATTATTGTGTATAATTAAAATATTTATTTGCCACAATTTTGCATATTTTTAAATATTACATTTCCATAATTATCAAATTTGTAAAACTTTAATTTTGTTTCAATTTATGTTTACAAACTTTTGACAGATGACTGGAATAACCGTTGAAACTTCCAATGAAACTTCAGAATAGAATTTTTCTGCATTCGCTAAAACGTGTGGTCTTCTTACAAATGTTTGTTGTTTTGCGTACAAATTAGCAAATTTAAGCGAGTAACTTGTTGTTTTTTGTCACAATTACGAGCTGGCGAAAAACCTCTTGATTTCCAGTTAACTGTCAGCATATGTTTTTGTTAATTATTAGTATTTTGTAGTTGTTTTTTTTATACTTATTAGTATTAAAAAATTATTATTAATTTTCGAAACCTTAACTTTAATTTTACGTGTTTTGAAAATATGAATATTTGCAAATATAAAAACAAAAATTTCCAGTATTTCCAGAGCTGCCATTAAAAGTAGTATTTATTTTATGTTGTCCTTTTGCGACATTCTCATGAAAGAATAGTCCTAATGTTTTTTATAACTATGAAAGAAAATTTACGGCCAATAAATATATTCATATTATTCAATTAAGATTTTGCATTTTGATACTTTGCAGTTTATTTTAGATCAAGGCTGTCCAGACCAATTGCGGTAGCGGGCCATTACAAATCAGTGTACAGATTGAAGGGCCGTAAAAATACATACGGACTATAAACTAATTAAAAAATTCAAATATTTTCTAAGACCACTGATGATGGATATTTGGCAATACCCGAAACAACGTTGTATGACCAGCTAAATTTCAATTAATTAATAAAATTTTTGTGCTTGTCTAATCTTTGCTATTCAAATCTTTCAAAGTTTTAAAAAAAAACTTTTATTTTAATTAGAAAAACTTGATTTTTTGAACTTATTACTATCTACATGGGTATTATAACAAAATTTATTTGTGGTTTTAACAAACTTGAAATGTATTTTTCAGTATTTGTGGTTTTAACAAATTTTAAGTGTGTTTTCTAGTATTTGTACCACTGTGCGTTTTAAGTCACAATATATATCGCAACTTTATCAAAATACTTCCGAGCACGTTTCAATAGTTTTAAAAAAATTTTTAAAACATTTAAAATTTTATTGATTATTTTTTTAAAAACTTTAAAGTGTTTACTATGCAAAAATTATTATTAATTTTTTGAAATAAAATAAAAAAAAATTTTATTAGAAAAATGTTACTACTTCTGTCACACTGTTAAGTCTATTTTAAGGTGTGTGTCTACACTTTATTAAAATAAATTCGTACGTATTATATGTATTAATAGTTAATTATTATATTCATGTGTGTACAATTTAATGAAGTACTTTCAGAAATCATAGTTTGATTTAAGTATTCATTATATAATAATTAATTGTTAAAAATTATACGTGAATACTTTAAAGGTATTTTCAATAATTTTTAGTCTGGTGTGTGTCCTCACTTAATAAAGGGAAATTTTAATGCATAATTTTATATATATCAAAACGTTAATACGTTAATATTTAACATTTTATGACCTACTTTTATTGGCGTTTATAAAAAGAAAACGTATGTAGCAGACATATTTTAGGTTTTAAAATGTATACATACATATGATCATCATTCAATGTTTTTATTTTTGATATGATTCGAAATTTCTCTTAAATCAATATCACATTTTGGTTTTTGTCTTGGATATTTTCATAAATATACTACACTCGTTATGTTATCGATAAAGTTATCAGAATGTAAGCCATAATTTTGTGCCTATACCTGCGCTGGTAGCGAAATTAGTAATCAGTATCGTTTTACCAATGAAACGAAAGAAGAATAAAATATTGTACAGTGAATTTCTTGCATTTATTTTGAGGTGAAAATGGATATTTAGTGTGTTTGCACAAGCAAAACAAAGCACCCTGCGTGCCACAAAGTCTTCTCAGTCAAAATGATTTCTAAACTAATGTAAGTTTTTTAAAAAATTTCTCAACGAATTGTATATTTTATTACCAAAATATTGTTGTCTTGCGAAATTACCTCGTGCATTGGCAACGAAAAAAGAGAGAGATTACACTGCCGAAATCGCCAACAGCAGCCATGTTGGCGGTTTTTCTTATTAGACAAGTTTTTAGTGTTGTGTTATAATTGAAATTTAATAAAAATAAACATTTATGTTTGTGATGTTTGTTATGGAAATTGTGAAATCCTGCGAATTTGTCAACAAGTTGTGTGCATGTCACGTCTGGAGAACTGGGAGAACTGTTGACGCTGCATGGAATCTGTGTTGCAACCTCAACTGCGTTGCAACATCAGCAAATGTCAGCAAATGCCTGAAGCAAAAACAAGAAAAATGTACACAAAAACATGATGTATTGTTAGTGCTGCCAGCCGTAAAATAATGTTTACTTTTTAATGCTTGCGAATGAGTTTTGTTTGTATGATGTTTGTTGTTGCTCTGCTGGACGATACGACACGAGACAGACAACGAAATGTTGTGTCAGAGTTTGTTTTGATTTTGATTGCCAATAAAAACGAAAAAAACTACAATTATTGCGCTAGGAATTAATCAATTTTTAGTTAAAATTGAATTTGTTTATCGAAACTGCAAACGAACTTTGCAAAAACCTAATCAATTTTTTTGCTCAGTCATCGAAAACTCATTTTAGGGCTGTGTTTGTTATCAGCGGAGAGCTTATCATTTTACGATTTGTTTGTACCCACAACGTGCTTTAGTACTACAAATATTAATAAAATTTGATTAAAAACCCTTTTAATTGCCGCTTTATTCATTGATTTTGTGCATTTATGGCATGGCTTTTATTAGTGCTTTTAATTAATTCTTGTATGCAAATCCGTTTATGTTTCTACAAACTTCGAATTCCAATGTATTTCCATGCATATTTATTGCCCAGCATGAGGAGCTATTAATAAATATATTCTGACGCAAAAACTTAATACCCAAGTACGATAACAATTCGTTGAAATTACTTTTGCGCCAATTGTTTTTTCTATTTTTCTCAAATTGATTCATTGTAGTGTAGAAGTTGTACTTTGGCATTAACTTAAAACATACATATGTACATATATATTTCTTAGTTACTATTTAGCAGCACATGGCAAAATTTTCATCATAATATTCATCATTAACTTACATTTACGAACATTATTCACATGTTCTTTCTTCTGCCATTGCTCCTCCTAAGTTATAATTACTGCATGAGTCATAAAATATTTTAAATAATTGGAAAGCTATACTTTTTTAGTCTTCACTGTAAATAAGTTCGTAAGCGCCTAAATGCCCAGTTGCCACAATTGTCTCTGATGACTTTGCCTCAAAGACAGCTTGAGGACAGAGTCCGCGTTCCTAGGTTATTACACAAATTAAAGTAAACTTTTTAAATAATTTTTTTATTTGTCTTTAAAATATTATATTTTAAAATATTTTATAAGCAAATAAATTTTTTTTCTCTCCAACACCGCGTTATCGAATCTCAGAATGGTTACATGCTCCTCAGGGAGGTGTGCAGATCTGAGATCAATTATTATTGCTTAGTCTGATGAAGTGATAAACAACAATACAGTCAAAGGATTAGGCGTAACGACGGATTATGAAGAAACCTTGCAGTTAGTAGAGAGTAAAAGTGCTCAAGAGCACTGACTCAACTAGTCTCAAAGTTTATTATTTAACTATAGACCAATTAGCCCGTAAAAAAATAAAATTATTATTAAATCAAAGTAAACTGAATATAAGTAGCTATGAAAAACTGAAAATAAAATAACTAAGAGGCAACGACAGGCGTACTACTATCACCAACATATATACGTCTTTGTAATTTTTGTTGTTGCTGTTGTAACCCACAGAGATCTGAAAGCAGATAGCATGTAAGGTTTACAAGACTAATATATGGGTTTCAAGAAAGGCTAAGTCTACGTCCCAGAGCCACTCGTCAACCACGACAACCAAGTGCCATTCACCGCCCACAAAGGGAATTTCCAAGCAGATCCCCGCTGGTTACAACAACAACAACAATACATGAGTTAGAATGTGAATGGGTGATGGTAGAGGGAGGGGGTGGATGGGTTAGTAAGGAAGGAGGAGTGTATTACAGATAGATGATTTTTAAATTGAAATCAATGTGGATATAGATAGAGCAACCTGGCTACTTCAAGGGGGGCGGGTTTGTACATTTTTTCGTGTTATCCGCTTTATAGTTATCTGCGGGTTATAACAATAACAACGCTCTGAGTACATATTTTATTCGTACACGGATGCATTCAGTCCTCTAGACATATATGCAAGTGTTACTTGATAGTCTTCGAAATACGATATATATATATATATATATATATGTATATGTATATATCCTATGCCTTTTAGACGTCATCAATAATAGAACGATCCATTTCCAACTGGGTGCTTGCCATAAAACAAATGGCTATACAAAATTATATAATTTTTATTAGCAGCAGAAAATTTTATATATATGAAGTATTTAAATATAATGCAATATAATATTATATATTCATATAAATTATGCAAGCAACAAAATAATTCTTTCATATACGAGGGTCATTATTTATATTTTGAACCTAATAATAAAAAAATACTAACTTGTAGTTAAAAATTGCTTTATTCTTTCTCGAAGTATTCCCTTTTATGATTAATACTCGTACACTTTTGCATGTGTTTGAACTATCTGTCAAGTTATCTAATTTTTTCAATATTTAGACTGGAGATAAGAACATGGTTTTTAAACGGAACAATGGTTTCGTTATTATTTCCGCCGACAAAAATCGTTTTCTACACAATTTATTCCTGCGCTTGACGTTCGGGAACAAGAAGTCAAATTAGAACAATACAGCGGACGATTCGTCAATTCAATTTTTTGACTGTTCAAATAGTCGGTTGTTAGACGAGATGTGAAGATGTGTGAGCACTCGTACTGTCTTAATGGAGATGGAGAATGATCCGACGGCGCTCCTTTGTTTTCCGTACTTTATCGTTTTTCACTGAAGACTTCCGGTAAACAAGACTTCATGCACTCCTGTCTTGATAATTCACGTCGAAAGTCGAAATAAATCATCGTACGAAAATTTTCTCACGTTAATTCCATTTTTTTTCGAACACTCAATTTACAAATCACTGTAAATAACAGAAATAACGCACTTTTGACTAAGATAGGTTATGTTTAATAATGTCAAACTTTCCTAGTCAGAAAGTTGTCAGATGTTTATTGACAACAATCAGTGTTAGCAAGGCTCAAAATATAAAAATTGACTTTTGTACTATATATAGTATATACTATATATCGAAAGAATACGTTAAACAAAAAAATGTGGTTTTAAATTGTAAGGTTACTATTTTTTAGAAAAGTGTGAATTACCTTGTGCCTTGTGATTTGCTTACTTTTGTCATAATTATTATATTTAGTCCATTTAATAGAACTCTTGAGTGTCTTGTCTTACTAGAGTTCCAATTCTCGACTTTTTTTAAGATGTATCGGCCGTCTTTGTTGTTATGGTAACCCATTTATATTTATCGAGTAGATGAAATGCAAGAAAATTCATGATGAATACATGGGTTAAGATATGGATGGGTATTGGTTGTGTGAAAGGGAGAGATTATTAGGAAGTGAGATTCGATTGAGGGATGGCTGGGATTTAAAGTTAAGTCAACCAGGATCAAGATGAAGAAACCTACCCACTTTTATGGCATGGGTTCAAAGGTCGATTAGACTCAGGTTTATGTGAGTTGTGCCGAAAAATAGATGGGCGGCATTATAGGAGTATAGCTGCAGTTTAAGCACATATTAGGAATTAATACATATATGCGTGAGAAGTAATTATTTAACACATGGCTTTATCATGATCAGAATTGAGTTAGAACAATTCTTGCTGTAGAGGGAAAGTTCATTATTTCTGGAAAATGTTATGCGGGAGTTTATTGACAACTTTGTTGCTGTACAACTGTCGTCTCAAAGAAGATACTGCACCTATGTGGATAGCTGTAAGTTTTATTCTCACTGATGGCAATAGGTGTCGATATATCCATGGTGTGAGGAGAAATATCGACGATTGCTTGGTTTAACAAAAAGCATTTTAGATATTTCATGAATACGGTCAATATGCGACATGTGTTGACAGCCGGTCGTAATCCGTAATGTTGTTTTCTAATATTTTCGATTGTTATTGTTATTGGTATTATTATACTGTAGCTGCATAGGCGACTATATGACTTGACACAAGGCCTTAACTTACTTCTAACTTGAAGCCAGTACTCAATATGAAACATATTTTTAAAATGATATTTTTGTTTTTGTAATTGCAGAGCCACCATGGCTTCCCCACAATTAAAAAACGCGTTCTTAGGACAAGACTCCTCAATAATACAGAGTATACCATCATCATCATATTTTATATCGGATTATGAATATGAAACCAATATTAACAACATCTTTGAACTATACAACGATGGAGTCACTTTCATTACCCCAGGATTTGTATTGGGACGGCAAAATGGAGCCAATATCGCCGCCGTCCAGCGAGCTATTTTTGATTAATGATTCCAACATTGATTGGTTCTATGACGATAACTTTGCATCTGGTATAAAAATATTTATTTTTCTTAAGTAGTTATATAAAAAATTCTGTTTTTATATTTTTAATTAGAATTAACTTTACTCTCTGATGATACTGCTTTGGAATTCAAAATTGGTATGGATTCTTCGGAAGAGCTATTCAGTAGTGACGATGATCTTGTTATTCATCCATGCGAACCGAAAGAAGGTAAGGCGATTTGTTTATTTGCTATATTGTTTAAATTTATTAGGCAGGATGATATTTTTAATATCATTTTATTCTTAAATATGGTAAAATATTTATTTATTAAAGAATTTATAATTATGTTGCAAGAAAAATATAAAGCAAATATGTTTTTACTACGAGCACTATGACATTCTATTAAGATATTTTTTATTTAATAATATATATTTATGACTTAATGTTAATACATTGATTTGAAAGAAATGATTTAAAATGATTTATTGGGCCAATCTTTAAAAAATTTTTTATTTTTAGATCATATTTCTTTAACTAACTCCTGTTATCTTTTATTTAAAACTATTGCTTATTGCAGATACCGGAGTTTTGTCTTTTATTATAAAAATTATTTTATTTAAAGAGTTTCTGAGATGTACCAAAATTTCTTAGAAATTCAAATAATCGAATATCTAGATAATTGAAACATTTTTTAATTAATCGATTATTTGAGAATTGAAAGCAAGTTTTTGTTAAATGAGTTTTTTGGAACATTTATTTTCGTTACAATAATTTTAAGAGAATAAAAATAGTATTGCAAATAAGCGGAAAAGAATTGAAAAGTTTTGTGATTATAAAACCTTTCTGTTACCCGATCTCTTTTTTTTTTTTATTGTATTGATATTGATTGTAATTTAAATTAGGCAGCTGTAGTGTATAGATATATATATAAATATATACATCATATTTAGGGTTATATTAAAAGTCTGTATATATATACAGCATATATCTATATTGTTTCATGAAATCCATAGTCAATCAATAAAGTTTTTCTATAATTTGGGTGTATCTTAGAATTTTTGAAATCAGAAAAAAGTTGAATTTAGGAGAGATGCTGAATAAACATATTACCATAATACTATCATATTAGAATATATAGTATATAGTTATCTAACTAGTTATATATTGAGTATTTAGTTGAAATAATAAGCTAAAAAATAAATTTTTGGTCTATTTTTTTTTTATTTTACTTTTTTTTTTAGGCTTTATGTTCTTATATAATTTGCAATAACATTAAATAAATTGTTAATTTTTTTGCTAACGAAATACTTTTAATTTTCCAATAAACCAAATTGTGGTGGTATTGAAATTTCTCATATGGTAATAACGATATTCCTATATTATGTTATCTTTACCTATAAGAGAAAATATTTGAATTCTTTTAATGTTATATATTAGAAAAATATATGGTTTACCAAAATTTTAAATTTTTATTCATTGACTATAGTTTTTGTTCCTAATTTGTTAGAAGTCTTTTGCAAAGGACTGAGGTTACTAAATCATCTTTAAAACTTCTTTGAAGTTTCATTTGCTGTCAGATGTTTCCATCAGTTTCACAATAAATTTTAGCAATCCCTTGTGTTCCATAAGTAAGTTTTGACAAAGAAGCCTGTAATTTCACGTAAGATAAAATTAAGTTGAATAAATTTTCATTCATGCATCGAATCGATAAAGATTTAGATAATCTTTATTGAAATCTGAAACTGAGTATTAAAAAAGAAAATAAAAATAGATCACTTACCTGATTTGACAATGTTTAGGGTTGTAGTTAAGGTGATCACCAGATATAGACTTTCATTTTGTTAGCTGTATTTTAAGAATATCCAAGGTATATTTTATAACTTTTTATACCACTTTTTTAACAAACCAGCAAGTATATTAGGTTTAGATTTGCATTTTGTTATGTGTCTCTCATAAATATTCAACGTTGGTGAATTCCGTTAATAAACAAATCAATTCCTAGTCTCGTTAGGGGTCTGTTGCAGTTGGTATGAACCATATATCCTTCTGCTGGTTTTTGAAATTAGGTTGTGTACATTTTAAAAAATAATGTCTGCGGTTTTCTGAATAAAAGAAATAAAACTAATTAAAAAAATTACTAAATTTACATGTATAGGATAATAACTTATTATATATATCAATCACAGTATACACCCAAGAAATTATATACAAAATAAAATATAATATAAAAATTTTGTTTATACCATGCACGCTGATGTTAACTCCATCGTTTTTAAATATATGAATGTACTGCGGAAATGAAAATTATGAAAAAGATGAAGATGTAGGGTTTTACTTTAATAAATATATTGTATTAAAAATTTCGCCTAAAAATTCTACTCTAAAAATTCTTCTGTGTTATATACATACCTTATAATATCTCTTTTAGAATTTCATGAGATATTCTTCGTAGTGTAAACATCATTCTTAAATTCTCTTTTCTCATGTTAAAATTTGTTGGTGTCTGCACAAATATCCTAGTTGTTGGGTCATGATGATGACATGACATATGCGGTGAGGGTCCTGTTGTTGTTGGAACCTTAACGTATCCATCGTAAATGTGGATGCATTGTTATGAGAATTACTAGAACCGTATAGGGTTTTAATTTAATAGATAGCTTGTATTATAAATTTCGCTCTAATCTATAAAACTTTCTCTATATTATATACATACCTTATAATATCTCTTTTAGAATTTCATGAGATATTCTTCGTAGTTTAAACATCATTCTTAAATTCTCTTTTCTAATGTTAAAATTTGTGCGGTTGGTGTCTGCACAATTATCCTTGTTTTTGGGTCAGAATGATGACATGACATATACGGTGAGAATCCTGTTATTGATAGAACCTTAACGTATCCATGGTAAATGTGGATGCATTGTTATGAGAATTACTAGAACCGGTTAGGATTTTAATCTCATATGTAGATTGTATTAAAAATTTCGCTATAATCTATCAAACTTTCTCTATGTTATATACATACCTTTTAATATCTCTTTTAGAATTTCATGAGATATTCTTCGTAGTGTAAACATCATTCTTAAATTCCCTTTTCTCATGTTAAAATTTGTTGGTGTCTGCACAAATATCCTAGTTGTTGGGTCATGATGATGACATGACATATGCGGTGAGGGTCCTGTTGTTGTTGGAACCTTAACGTATCCATCGTAAATGTGGATGCATTGTTATGAGAATTCTATAAAACTTTCTTTATGTTATAAACATACCTTTTAATATCTCCTTTAGTATTTCATGAGATATTCTTCGTATTTTCAACATCATTCTTAAATTCTCTTTTCTAATGTTGAAATTTGTGCTGTTGGTGTCTACACAAATATCCTAGTTGTTGGGTCATGATGATGACATGACATATGTGGTGAGGGTCCATTTGTTGATGGAACTTTAACGTATCCATCGTAAATGTGGATGCATTGTTATGAGAATTACTAGAACCGTATAGGGTTTTAATTTAATAGATAGCTTGTATTATAAATTTCGCTCTAATCTATAAAACTTTCTCTATGTTATGTACATACCTTATAATATCTCTTTTAGTTTTTCATGAGATATTCTTCGTATTTTAAAAATCATTCTTAAATTCTCTTCTCTAATGTTGAAATTTGTGCTGTCTGCACAAATATCCTGGTTTTTGGGTCAGAATGATGACATGACATATGCGGTGAGGTTCCAGTTGTTGATGGAACCTTAACATACTTAAATGCATTTTCTTACCGCTTTTTATGGTGTTTCGTTTTGTAAGTATTTTATATGCATTTAAGTTTATTGTTTTCTATTTCTTCTTCAATCGTAACTGCAAAAAAATATTTAATTGCATAATGTATAATCATTTCTAATATATATATAGCTATAAATTACATGTCCATGAAAGTTGCTCCTAAAGCAATTTCTATGCATGTTGCATTGCATTTACGATTACTATATCCATGGGCTTTTTTTGACGAAGAATGTTTATTTGCGGGCTGATAAAAATGTAATCCACGATCTATTCTAATAACATATCCAGTGTTCACTAGAATTTTAGCACCGACAACATCATTGAATGATATAATCATATCAATATCTTTTCGCGACAATTCTTCTCTCAACTGTTCTAATTGCTCAAACTGCTTTTCCGTATTAGTTTTGCTCTTTTGAGTAATCAGTTTTATGAACTTTAACTTTTTGCAACGCCGACAAACGAATTCAAAAAAGTCATGTGCTTCTTCGAAGTCACTGTCACTTTCCAAACGTGTTTCCTCCAATAAAAGTTCTTTTATCTTATCGCCTTTAAGATATTTACCAAGAATTGTTTCGTATCCGCAGTTTGTGTCATCATTTTCTATAAATATGTAGTCAACTACATTTCTAGATCTACTTATTTCCTTCAAATGCTTTTCTATATGCTCGGAACGTTGTACGTAGCTTTGAATATGTTGAGCAAAGCTTTGATGCATCTCCTTGTCTTTTAAAACCGCATCACAATTCGAATCTTGCAATAATTTTCCTAAAATATTTGTGTATAAGAGATGCGCTTCTAACAGACGACCTGCATTATCGCATTTTATTGCCATATTCACTAGCTCCTCAGTCTTATTCATTTTGACTTCTTAATATGGAAACTTATATCAATTTGCAAAATTTTGGTGTTGTCTAAGAAAAAAAAAATCAAGCAATGGTGGGGATATATAAAATTAATTTAAATTTAATTTTAAATTTAATTATTTACTTTTTGAATTTAGTTTAAAATCAAATATGATGAAGAAACAAAAGACAAAAAATCATTGACCATAAAGTTGTTTTGGATATTTCCAATACCTGTCATTAGTGGTCTTTGGAAATATTTTTTTGATTTATTAAAAAATTCATTTGGAGTTGTACCCTGTCAAATTGGAAGACCACAGTTATTTATATTAACCAACTGACCCCAAGCTGTAGTTGGTTTGTGCTATTCTCAATCGAAGCAAAAAATGTACTGTGTGAAATTAGACCAAAAGCAAGAACCATAAATAATTATAGTATAAACAATAATTTAGGACGTGTACTAGTTAGGCTAAGTTGCGTTCTAAATGAGGGAAATTCTAAGTTGTGCCGATAATGTAGTGATGTGTCGATACGTGTTGATAAATGGCTAAATGTGTGCAGTGCAAAAAATCCCAAAAAATCTCCCATTTGGTTTAGTATCAACTTAGCCTAACTCGCACACGTCCTTAATTAACTTATTTTGTTGTTGGTATAGTACTAAAATGAAGAAAGGATAGTACAAAAAAAAATAGTATTGAAATTCTTTTTAATACTTTAATTGAATGTGTCTTGTATGCTAAAATAATTAAATATTAATTTATATGATTGTTAGGTTGTTGTGACTACCGGTATATCAACGGAAAATTTTTAGTTCAAAAAAGCATATAATTTGCAGAAATTTACTTCCACTTAAGAAAACAAACACGAAATTTTAATCAGTTTTAGTGCATATCAACCAGGTAGTTATGGTACCGGTAGATCTTTTTTTTAGAAATTATCAAAACAGAAATCTATAATCCTTATAACTAAGCGATGTATAAAAGTAATTTTTATTGTCATTGGCAGTTTCTTTTAAATTTAGTGCAGAGTTTTAGTGAAGGTCAAGTTTATGCAGTTTTTGAACGTCTCTCGAGACTAGCAAGACGACGACTTTTAAATAAGCCCATCTAACACTTTTCTTAAAATTGACTTAACCTTTATGTACAAAGAATATAATCACTACATAATATGCGTTTTTTTTCCATTTAAGAGATTTCTACATTTAGAAATCTATTGCTTAGATTTTTCATAAAGGATCAAATCAGACTTCACAGCAAATAGACTTCATTATTTCTTTGAGTTGTCAGTTTCTACAAAATAAAATTTAGAAAATAAAGTTCTCATGTACAACTACAACATAAAACCTATCTAGATCTATGGAACTGATTTATAGTAGTGAATATGTTCTTCATATTTGAAATTTATATAATGAATGTTAATATTGTTTAAGTATTGAATAATTTAAATATTTAAATATTCATAAAACAAAATGGAAAAGTGTCCCACATTTGACAACATCCTTTAGATGATGATGAAGTGATTTAACTCAATCACTTTAATTATCTTAATTAAGTAGGAAAATTGATCATTTCGGATATTTCCGATTCCAAACATCTGGAGTAATTAATTTAGCAGTATTAAATTAAAGGATAATACATAGAGTTTCTACTAAAGCTTTCTCGATCAATTAATGATCCTTGAAAACTAACATTAACCTTTATTTCCAAAGCTTTTAATTATTGTATGACATGCAATTTTTTCCATTGTTAAAAAATCTACTGAGACATTTAAATTTTTGTTCTATCATTGATGAATGGTTTGATATGTCTAAGAAGAGCTATAGAAAAGATCTTCAAATATTATTTTAGCTGTTCGAAGCTTGTAGTAATTTGATGTTCGAGTATATTTGTCTTCGAGCATTAGACTGCTCGAAGACAAAAGGAAAAGGAAGATATGATAAAACAGAGCGGATAGATCTACTGTTTGAGCAGCTCGAAAGAATTCGAGACTACTCAACCTGCTTGAACATAGTAACGCGTGAACACTCTTTTACACCATCAATAAGTAATGAGTATTTTATTATTCACTTATAATAAAACTTATAAAGAAACGTACACTTTATAGAGAAATATAAGAAGGATTAACTAACTCTGGTCTAAGATTTACTAACTTATGTGATCTATTTACTATGTACATATACTATATATGAATGTAACCACATTTTCTAATATTAAGTAATGAATCGGATTAAGTAATGGATCGGATTAAGTAATGGATTGAATTGTAGGTAGTACGACAGATATCCAATGTGTAAGATTTTAGAGCATTATCAGAACGGTGTTGGTCGTTTTATGTTATAAAAACGTAAAATATATTTTCATTCACTTTCAGAATAAAATGGTTATAGATTTTATATAGAATTTATATAGAATTTATATAGAATTTATATAGAAGTACAACCGTTTGTTTCAACATTTTGTTGTCAAACAAGAAAATTTATCCAAAGAAACTTGTATGTATATTTGCTTTGATTGCAGCATAGCAACAAACATTGTTCAGATTGAATTGAAATTTGTTTATTAAAATGCAGTTATATTTTATATTAGCATATCTTTTGATAGCATGTTATTTTTAATCATTTAAAGAAATTTTAATGAAATTTAACAAAATAAAATCAAAATGAACAATTGGACTTTGAACGTCTGCAGTTTTAGATTCAATCTGGTTTTGATATGTGACAAATTCAATAAAAATATATATTATATTTTCTCCACATATTTTTTTCTTGCATAAATTGAAGTGTACACAAATTTTTAGGTTTTTAATTGACATCCAATATATAAATAATAAACAATAAATTAATGGATTATTACGGTTATGCTGGTTCTTCTTTTCAACCAGATTTCTTGGATTTACTTATACCAGATTTGAGTATGAAATTATAAATTTTTAATTATATGCCTTCATTAAACCGCAATAAAATGTACACCTGTCTCATTACTTTGTTTATTTAGTAAAGATTTTTGATTTTTTTAGGAATAGAAAAGAAATAGTAGAAAGAAAGAAATAGAGAATCGAGGGAGCGTTGAAATGAAAGTGGGAAAGAGGAAGAAAGATAAGCATATATGGGAAACAATCATATTTTATCAGAAAATGAAGTATAAGTATAAGGTATGTTAGAGTCGGCGGAAAAAATATAGATATAGTATAATGTAATCAATAATTAAATAAAACAAAGGGTTATTTTATTAGATGTATACTAAAATATTCGAAATTGCGGAAAAACTTGGTAAAAAGGTGTTCTCGCTACTTGCAGGCCCGGAAAGATTTCGTGGCTAAGAAAGATATGGCTATATTGGATTAATCTATTCAGTGCTATCACAATCATTTATAAGTATTTTTGATCTAAAAAATTAAGGTTTGATTGCAATTTATCCAATCCTCAGAGGATTTTTAAACCCTTTACTAAAGGACCTCAAACGAAACTTGTAGATTTTGTAGAAAAGAGAACCAAAAATATTAAAAAATGTTTATAATAAAATAACGCCTTAATAAGAAATGATAAATTTATTACTCACTTTTAAGGTATTTCGTTAGCTGAAATCTTGAGATCAAAAATATGTTTAACCTTCTTTAGAATTTGGAATTATGAAAAAAAAAATTTTTTTTGTTGATATAATTTTTCAATTTTTTCAAAGATAGCTTGATTATTTTTTTTTTTAAATAAAATTTTTTTGTTATTTATGGTTCTCTTCCCTTGCAAATCTTGAGTTTATCTTACTGTTAATCAAAATCATTGTTCTTCTGACACTACTACCTTCTGTGTACTCACCTATCATGACATCGTGTGAGCTATTCCTTAAGTTTAAATTAATACTTTGCTAAATAGTTTTGGGGTCAAAATTGACAGGGTATATCTCAATAATATTACTAAAAATTTATGGAGTACAAGTTGAAGAGCTAGTACAAGTGTATAGTTGCATTTGATGGAATCTACTTTAAGGACAACACAAACAAATTATGATTTTATTGATTACATTAGTAATCTCGTTAGATTTCTAATTAATAGTTTATAATCTTCACCTATGAAAGTTTCCATATCAATATATTCAACAATCATATATGTTTGCAATATTTGCAATATTTCAGAAAACCTTTTATATATATGTATATATTTTGCAAGTCTTTTATATAAAGTAATGTTTAATAGAAAAATCAGTTAACAAAAAAGACTTAAAAGGTTTGGTAGTACAACAGTAGAATTAGGGTCATATAATTTGTAGTAATTAAAAGTTTGTGATAATTTATTTAAAGTTTGGGAAAAATTAAATATATGATTTCATATTAAAAAAATACTCACTTTTTGTGTATTTCGTTATTTGAAACCTTAAAGTCCAAAATGTACTGTTGAAAGTCCTTTAGAATTTGAAAAAAAAAATATATGAATATAAAAAAATATAATAAAACTAAAAATTTAACTTCCAATATCAGAATTTTTCTTTCTTCACAGACATACAAATTTTAACTTCATTATATGATGTTAATTAAAATTTTTAAATATCTATGATAACTACGTTAATTTAGTTATTCAAAATTATAAAATGATTTCTTCAAAATTAACAATTATAAAGAGCACTAAAGATATTTCGTTGTTTGAGACCTTAAAATCCAAAATATACTGTTGAAAGTTCTTTAGAATTTAAAAAAAAACATATATCTATACAAAAAAAGATCTATACAAAAAATATAATAAAACTTAAAATTTAACTTTCGATATCAAAATTTTTCTTTTTTCACAGAGAAACAAATTGTAACTTCATTACATATTCTGAATAAAATGTTTAAATATCTATGGTAGCTACGTTAATTTAGTATTTCAAAATTATAAAATAATTTGTTCAAAATTAAATCAATATCACTCTTTCGTCCGCACGAATAATAGAAGCAGGTGTACCTCAAGGGTTGTCACTGTTACCGACATTGTTTAATATATATACGACAGACACTCCCACCTTAAGTCCCGTGTCAATGGCGCTTTACGCAGACGACACGTGCTTGATCTATTCTGACCGGGATGCCATAAATGTAAGCAACACCTTACAGAGAAATATAGACCTCATGGTGGAATAATTCCAGAAATGGAAGATTAAAATAAACAATGACAAAACCAAGGCTATATTCATAACACGAAAGAGAAGGCAGCATTCTCCAGAAGTGAGCGTCGGTGGCAACCCCGCCATAACAAATCTCAAGCCCATTTCAGGACGCACAGGAAGATATGCTGATCTAAGGTCCGTCATCAGTTAAAAGATAAATAAATGATAATAATTTTAGTATAGTTAAAGCTTAGTGTGAGGCAGGGATAAGCCCCTCAACCATAAAAGAGTAAAAGTGCGGAATAGCACTAACTCAAACCACAACAACAACAACAATAATAATAACAAAGAACACTGTAGATAACATTTGTGAGATGGTTTAGCAACAAATTCTTATTTTTCAATGAATATGTTTCATTTCCTAGGTTAGGTTAGGTTGAGTATATTAATACAAATGTCAACATTACTACTAATTGACATCTATTGTCCATTGTAATGTCGTTTGAAGTTACTGTATGTTATTGTTGATATATCATTTGCCTTTTCAGTTAAAGTTAAGGAGATCCGGCCTAAATTTAACTTCCATCAAAAGTTTTGTGTACTAATGCCAGACAGAAATGACTGGTAACAAAACATACCTTCATTTGTTGGAGATTATCATCTGTGGTACACCGATGGATCCAAAATATTGGGAGAAGTGAGGGCGAACGTATATAGTGTAAAACCAAAAAAAAAAAAATTTGCGAGTATGAGTCTAGAAAACTTAGATGTTCAGGTCGAAGTACACGCACTTCAACCATGCCCAAGGAAATATAAAGGGATCAGCACGCCTAGCACTCCGCTCACCTCGAGTGACTTCAAAACTAGTCTGGGAATGCCTTCAACTTCTCAAAGATCTTGCTGAAAGAAACAGAGCCCATTTGATATTAATTCCAGGACACAGCGTATTTAAAGAAAACAAAGTCAATGAACTAGCCACAAAAGAGGCTGCCGCATTATATATTGGGCCAAAACCATTATACGGTCCTTTTTCAAATTAATGAATGGCTGGAAAAAGCAGCTCAGACTGATTGGGAAGGTAAAGAATTGATGTCGAATCGATCAAAAGCCAGAATTAGAGCACTATTAATGTTGAACAGAAAAGACATCTGATTTGTCACAGGGTTTCTCACCGGACATTGCGGACTCAAAAACCATCTATCTAGGTATTACAAGTAACGATAGTTGGAGACTTTGCCACAAAGAAGAGGAAACAACAGAACTCATTCTTTGTCACTGTGATTATCTTGTCAGACTCAAAATTTAGTACTGATCAACTGCCTATCAACTTATAACGGCATTAGGCAACATCTATCCAAAGGATATAATAGCATTTTTAACTGCTACGCGCCAATAAAACTAAAGTGAGTTTGTCACTATAATCCTCAAAGGCTGCAGTGAAGTGGTGAAATAGTTCTCAACCCTTTCAAAATTTATCTATCTATCTATCTTCGGAGATCTGATAAGTGTCTTCACTTCGACTTCCTAGACTTTGAAGTTACTTTGTTTGTAGACTTGGACGAAGATATAGAAAGTGCTTGACGAATTCCGCTTACATTTCATTATGGCAACACCTGCACAATTTAATTATATGTGTTGAAAACGTTGAATGACGAAACTAGAAAGGTTTATAATGTGAGTTAAAAAATAATTTTAAAGCTTTTGGAAATATATACATAACACTTGTATACCATTTGAACAATATCTAAAATATCTTATACGATTATAGACTAAAGTCGGCAGATTCTCGAATAGGGTGTTATATTCTTATAAGAAGAATATTTAGAATATTATAGAAGAATAGAGGAATACTTACAATTATAAGTAGACTGCGGTATTTTATTTATATTGTATTATTACCAACGGATTTTCTAAGCTAACTGGAGCAAATAATAACTTTTTAATAATACCATTTATTCTTCAAGATCCCAAACCTCAATTGGTTCAATAAAAGCCGTCCGAAGATCTCGTTTAGCAGAGCACGAGCAAAATAGGCAAATATTTAATTTTGTATTTGCATTTTGGTTTCGAATCAATTTAGATTGACATCTGTCAACTTATTTATTATTGATTCAATTGAATGGTTTTTCGAATTGTGCCAAATCTTCGCAAGCAATTTGTACTTCATGTATTGCTAAATTATACCTAATTTCCGCTGCTTCATCAATGTTTTTTTTAAAGAATTTTGGTTAATGTTTATAAATTTCACTATGTATTTTAATTATTTATTAAATTTTTAATATACATTATAATCAACAAATTTGACGTGTGATACTTTTAAGTTTTTTGTAGCACAACAAGAATTTTATAGAACTTATGCCTAAATAAATTCCAAACCGGTTCACTATATGTTGCATAAATTGAATAAATTATAGTAGTTTATTTATATAAATAGATTAATAAATACTTTAGTTTTTTATAAGCTTATCCATGTACTTTATTTTACCACCACACTATGATAATTTCTTGCTCATTAAAAACTTACCTATAAAAAGATTTTTAAACATGGTTTGCCTGCCTGCCCTACTTAACTATTATTTTATTAACCGTCTTGTTGTCCAGTAGGCTGGTACATCATTTACATATAGTTTAATGTTGTAAATTATGGTGTAATTATTAATATTTTTAATTTTTTATTGTTTAATACCTTATATTTTGTACCCTTTTACTAATAGTAATTTCCTGAACTTGCGAACGTCGTTAAGCGTCCGCAACTTTCCTAAACTTCCTTTCCTAGCCTGTTTTTAGTAGCATAGCAGATTTGATTCTGTGTTGAGAATAGTCAACTATTCTCAATTTCTTGTCGATAGAATTAGACTATGCTAAAATACGTGATACTAGCTGTCGGCTATCCTGTGGATTTTGTCAGTGTGCCTGTCTTTAAATATAAGTGTATGGTGCCGATATAACTATGTATATATATATGCAATAAATAACTATACATTCGTATATTTCTATTTCTAAAAATTTGTAGTTTGGAGAATATTACTTCCCAAGCAAGTACATTTTTGAATATATATTCCACCATTTGTAATGCTTAACAGAATTGTGTCTAGAACGTATGAGAGTACACAGGATTCTCTAGATATTGTATTCCTTGACGATAAGTGAATGTCTTATTTAAAATTTTATATAAAACTAGTATATGCAATGAAAGTGATAAGCTGCAATCTTTCTTTGCGGTAGTTTGTATTTTGAATACCATCAGAAGTCATTACTTTTAAATACTTGTCATTTAAAGTTTTTATAAAATTTTAAAAAAGTTGTGTCATAATGAGAACTCCTCTGTCGTATAACTTGCTTACTTAGTTGGCCATTACAGACGCAAGTCTTTCTTGGCTGCGTCAAATAGTCTCCGCTTATCAACTGTGTCCTGTCAAGGATCTCATATACTATACTTCCATAAATTCATCTGAATAACTCATTGTAAGGATTAAACGGTGTTCTTGTTACAGTGGATCACTCACTCATGAGTAAAAATATTTTTCAGATTAACTCGCGTTTCATCAAGTAAAGAATTAAGGAATACAATTAGTAACACATTCTATCTCAGTAAATTATGACTGTTAAGTTCTTTTAAATAAGAACTTTAATAAGCATTGAAAGTTTGTGCAGCCTTGACTACTTGTGGGAAGACACAATTAGTCATCGCTTCTAATTTGACAGGCACGAGTTCTAAGCCTGACACTTGTACTCCAAACAAATAAGTTCTTTTAAACAAGAAAATATAAGTATGTATGGTATATATAGGAACCAATTGCATTTTAGCTATGTATTTCATCTAGTTCATTCCTTTTCCTTGCCATCGGTGAAATATCAATGGAACATATGATCTATACTTCGTCTTCACTACGCGTGTTTCTGGAACGCGCTTAATTGACTGTTTCGTATATTATACCATATATTCGATCAAATTTAATACATATTTGAGTGGGGCCTTATCTGCAGAAAAAGTGCTGGTAATTAGCACAATGGCAGGTCTCCATAAGTGCTAAAATAAATTGTCATACAAATGTAAAATAAAACATTGCGGTCAAGGCTGCAAAAAATCAAAACAAATCAGATTATAAAGTTTAAGGCATTTATACAGTTATTAGAGCTGTGATGATTTTTTTTATGATGTTTTTATTTGAGACTACTAATCAATTAATCAACTTCTTTTATATTTACACAAAAAAAACACATAATTTAGAATTCTTCTACATTTTTCTTCCATCTTAAGTGATTAATTTATTCATTGTATAAAAAAATATTTTAAATATGTGTCATTATTTTCTAAATATTGGTTTTTCTTCAAAACGACTAATGCAACCATTATCAGTCCAT